ATATGATTTGATTAATGATATAGAATATGGTGATTAACAACAATTGAGGTCAACAGACAGATCGCTCTCTCAAATAATGTACACTATCATTATCACCACTATCAATTAAATGTGCCAAGTTAGAACTGCGTATTGTTTTTATCTGGCCCTTCTCAAACGAAGCTGGTAGATGTTCACTCATTCGTTTATTAAGTTATGCGCGATAAAGCTATCTCTCCAGGAGCAGCTGAATTTGTAAATACACATAGAGGAGGCCAACTCAGGTAACTTTTCCTTCGTTTGAGTACACATCGCTAGTCGACTCGAGAAAGTCAACACAAAATTGGCTGCTTAAAATGTCCTGCTAATTACTTTTGTTAACCTGTCTTTCAGAATATCGCTAGACACATCCCCGTTGATTGATAGTAGTCATAATGTAGATAAATCGAAATCATTTCGAGTTATCTATCATTTACCTCCATCATCTTTCAACGGAGTTCGTTCCCGTCTCCTTTATATAGCTGAAGCCATAGGAATTCGTACATTTCACCCCAATTATGTGTACAGAAGAAATTTGTAACTAGTATTATCATCATTATTGTTACTTTTAGAAAAATATTTCTCATGGGAAAACGCACATTAGATTAGAACTCAAATAGATGTTATGATTGTATGTGATATTCAAGCAAATATTGCTGACTGAATCTTCAAGTAACAGTTCTCAATGTGAACAGTTTTGAGAGGACGAAGGGAGCACATGTTGTGTTCAGGTCAAACGAATACGGTTTATCGAAGATAATATATTCCTGTTTTGGTAGTGATATCTTCTAAATCACTTCAACCATACTTTCTTGTTGTCAAACACATTATGGTGTCGAGTAAAGAGCAGATGTAAAAGATGAGTGTGCAATTGACGCTATCGAGTTATCCGTTTAGGACTTAGTAGCTAAGTGGACAGCTGGTTGGCGTTTGAAGCGAACGGTACTGGATTCGAGTCTACGAGTGAAAATCACCTCTGAAATGCAGTTATATCCAGCTGACGAGTTCCAAATAGGACGATACGCGCGTCCTGGATTCCACTTCTAGACAATATCCATCTTTGCCTATAACCTCCTAAGGTACCAAAGAACATTTAAAACGAAACTATCACAAAAGAGGAAATTTTTAACAACAAATTTGCCATACTGTTGTAAGTCATTTAGAAAGGTTCGCTGTGATCAGGAAGAGGTATTTTTGTAGCATGAAATTTTACTGATAAGTTATACTATTCATGGGATTTCATTTCTGTAATTAAGTATTTACATGTTACCAAAAGACCCTCAATAGACAGCTTGAAATCAATTAGAAGATTTGGACTTCGCAGATGACCTGACCCTTCTATCCCACACACATTAACAAATGCAGATAAAGACAAGTAGTGTAACAGCAGCCTCTGCATCAGTAGGTCTCAATATACACAAAAGAAAAAGCAAGATCCTAAAATACAGCACAGAGAACACCAACCCAATCTTTTTCAATGGAGAAACTCTGGGAGATGTGGAATCTTTCACTTATGATCGATGAACAAGGACGATCGTATGTAAATGTGAAAGCAAGTTGAAGAACATGTGGAACTCAAAACAACTGTCTGTCAACCGATATCAAAGTAAGAATTTTCAATACGAACGTCAACACCGTCCAACTTTACGGAGCTTAAATTTGGAGAACTAATACAACGATCATCAAAAAGGTACAAGTATTTATAAATAATTGTCCATACAAGATACTTAATGCCCGTTGGACGGAAACTATCGGCAACAGCCTACTGTGAGAGAGAACAAAACAGATTCCATCTGAAGAGGAAATGGGAAAAAGACGTTGAAAGTGGATAGGACTTACATTACGGAATTAGTCAGACTGTATCACGATGCAGGCGCTTACCTGGAATCTATGAAACGAAAGGAGAAGAGGAAGACCAAAGAATACATTGCATTTGGAATTGGAGGCAGATATCAAAAGAGTGAATAGCAAGTGGAAACAATTGGAAAGGAATGCCCAGGACAGAGTTGGGTGGTCTATACTCTTTCATAAGAGATAACAGGCGTAAGTAAAGAAAGTATAAAACAAACCTGATAATTCAGATCTCTTTTAATTATCAGCCTTTTAAACAAAAATAATAACTTAATAAGAAAAATTAACTAAACGATGATCTTTTGTATCCATACAATGATGAATAAGCAATATGTTGAGACTACTGAATAAGCCATACTGAAGTCAAACTCAAGATACTGGTTAAAAATAATGAATCGATTGATGAGGTAGTGAATTTTCATCGATTGAAGCGATTGGGTCTTGTATTACATACGTCCAACCACTGCCTATTCTGCGGCGATTAGATGTATATTACAACGTTGACAGTTATGCTAAGCCATGTAGGTAGGTGTAGACTACCTGGCTAAGGTTCACGAAATTACAGTGATCAATAGCTGGAGACTGAGTTGAACCATGAAATGTTGTATAAATCCCTACGTCTTATGACAGACTTAAATTTTAATTTATACACACTGTTATTTATTTATTTAAACACATAAACATTAGTACAAGAAGGCACCAAATATATATGCGCCAAGTAAATAATTCGATTTGTGAGGACTGTGATATTGCCCGGGTGCCCAAACCGAAACAGGCGATCTACTTAGGGGGGCCACACCTCAAGCATTCGACCTTAAGGTTTAATCCGCAAGGCAGTGGAGCATGGTAAGGAGATGCAGTCCCATGGAAGCTGGTGACCAGTAATTGGTTCATAAGCTATTTGTTCCCTTAGGATCCTGGAGCCCGTGTACACCATTGGTTTCGAACGCCCCTAGGTGGACCCCACATATCCACCAACCAAGTTAAAGTGTTGGATGTTCACTTTTCGTCCTCTCGGTTTCGTAAACAATACTCCTGGTACCGGAAGTCAGTGAACAGGACTATCCTGGCAGTGGCCGTATACGCGTGGCCATGTGAGAGCTGACTCCCCTCACTGTCGGCCGTACCAGGGGATTTGGGGGCCTACACACATTGTAATTTTGTTTCAATAAATCAATGTAGTCCTAAATGTTCCAACTGTCACTTATTAAGTTTTATGAAATCGAAACCGATATCACGCCAACAATTAAAATGAAAACTTTGTCCCACGCATCTTACTACTTATATAAGTAATCAGTAGCCTGATCCATCAACTAATTTAATCTGGACGATTATAATCTTGTATGATATGTGAACAACTTAACTCACTATAGGGTAGTAAGAATGTACGGTAGCAGAGAAGAAAGTCGAACCACTCCTTTCGATGAAGAGAAGCCATTTCTCAAAGTTTTATATTATTTTTCGGTATTCATACTAGTTTCAACTAATTTGTAAGCTGAAATTGTTCCAAAATGATGTCAATCAACAACAGAAAATAAGTACCACTTTTATATTCTAGTTATTACAAATTAACTGAAGTTAGTTATGTATACTACAGTATTTGAACTGAATAACTAGAAAATGTCCTTCTTACATATTTAATTGACGAAAAAGTCTTCCACATTTTTGATAAGTCTTCTAATTGAACGCTAGATTCTGTTCCTAAGCTCTTCCTATTAACCGCCAGGCTAAATGAACACAGCGACTTGAACATGAGAGAAAAGGTGCGAAATACGGAAGAAACGCTTTACTCCAAGTTCTGGAACGCCACTAAACAAAGTAGCAGTATAGGTAATCATCCAATCAGAAACTCGGCATGTGACTTTTCACTTTTTAGAGGTATATGGCAAAACTTGTAGTCGATGCTGATTGGATAAGATGTTTCTCAGTGTTTTCAAAACCTTTACCAGCTTTTTGGGGGGTTTTCTGGATCTCCCAATAATTTTCATAACTAATGATAAGAATTTCCAATTTCATACTATTCATACTCATTTTAATCAATCTCTTTGGGTTTCTTAAACAGATATAACTCATTTATCAAATATATATTTATGTATCAGAATAGGGTCATGAAGATTATTGATTTTCATTGAGATAATGAACCGATCAATGTTAGATCATGATTAAAAACCTAGCAAAGGACTCGTCAGTAGGACGCATCCACGATCCCAAACGTAGCAATAAAACCTAAAACCTCCAGTCTCATGTACGAACACTTAACCCCTAGACCACTGAGTCAGTATCCAATGGTATTAATGTCTAATATATTTATGTATTCGGGTTAGTTATGCTGTATGATACTATTCGATTGTTAAAATCAAAGTAGGTGGATTAACGTTTAAACTTGTCACTTTATGGTTGAAAGCTGGACGACTAAAGCAACAATTCTCATTCCTTCACTATTGAAAGAATATTTTATTATCAGTTCAACTTACAAATCGATCATTGTCAGTAGTGGAAATTATAAGATGAACAATGTTCAATTTCGGACTCATTAACAATTGAATATACCTCCATCTTATTATTTATGTTCATAATGAGACTCAAACTCAATATCCTATTATAGATTAGTGTGAGTTTACATTTAATCTATTTATTTATTATTTTAACACATAGATATTGGTACAAGGAGGCACCAAATACATATGCACCACACAAATCTCATTTGACATGTGTGAGGGCTGTAATACTAGCCGGGTGCCCAAACCGAAGCAGGTGGTTTTCTTAGGGAGTCACACCCCGAGCCTTTGACCTAAAGGTCTAACCCACAAGGCAGTAGAGCATGGTAAGGAGATGCAGTCCCATGGAAGCCGGTGACCGAAAATTGGTTCATACGCCACTTGTTCCCACAGGATACTGGAGCCCATGTGCACCATTGATTTGGAATCCGATTAAAGCTCCGGACATTCGCTTTTCGTCCTCTCAGTTTCGTAAACAACACTTCCACCACGAGAAGGCAGTGAGTAGGACTTCGCTGACAGAGGCTATATATGCGTGGCCATGTGAAAGCATTTCGAGAGGGAGAGCGAACTCTCCCCACTCTTGGCCGTACCAGGGTATTTGGGAGCCATTTAATCCATAAAAGTACATTTACATGTAACTATCTATATTTATGATGATATACAGATTCTTTTAAGAGATTCAACTTAACATGTAATCTCATCAATAGATAAAAATCTTTAGAAAAAAAAGCAGAGGCAAAACACACCTACAAAAGGTCATATACACTTGGATAATGTAATGGCAGTATATAGACTAAATAATTGGGAAGTGGTGGTAGTGGAAAGAAAACAGTTGAACAATAAAGAAGCAACATAACCATGAATGAAATGACAGAATAAATTTTCAACATGAACAATCTAAATAACTAATACTTTTGTATTTGATGAAAGAATGATTGTAACGATGAAACCGGGGCAAAGAGAAAGTGAACTAATTCATTCATAATTGTTTTACATCTATAATTGATACATAGTCATATTGTTTTATTTTAATTCATAGAAAAATTAATATATTCATAAATGTTTTAAGCATTCAATTCTAAACCAATACCCATTTTTGTCAAATCTGAACCATTGAAAACTCCACTCAATGTCAATTGAAGACCTATAGTAGAATATAGAAAGAAAAAAAGAAGATGTAAACGAACATACTTTATATATGTATACAACTTATGAATGAACCAATCAGATTTAAGATAACACGTCTTGAATTTTGGCGCGAAATCAATTCAATCATTTGGTTAAATAAAGTTTTCATATCATAGCTAATGTCAGTTCGTGATGAAAACGCCGAAATCTAATTTTTAACCCTAATTATCAACTATAAATATTAATCTTAATTCTTCAGACTGGTTTATAACTCTCATTTAGCTGTAGTATGTAGGTGAATATTCTCAAGATCACTTCAGAGTTGCTCAAAGGTTGTTCATAAATTATAGTTTTACCACACAATCCATTCAAAAGTTGACAGTTATTTTTACCATTATTAACTCATCAAGCAGATATACGTTTGTATATTTGATTTTGAGCTCCATTCTAATTTCGAGCGCTAGCGATACCATTCAGTTGCTCAAGCTGAAGTAAATGAAATAAGGTTCGAAGCTGAGACTAAGTGGCTGAAGTTAGATCGCTTTAAATGCTAAAGCCCCACTACCTTACAAAAAGATAGAAATTTATTAATTATAGTCAGGGTTAGAGTGACCACTTATCAGTTGCCGATCTAGTAGTGAAATGTGTAACGTATGGAATAAATAACTCGGCAACCTAATCTCTAATTGATGCACTATACAATAAGCGATGAGATGTTTGAAAAGGATTGACTGCTTATGAAACAAAAAATCGAAACACTGTGTAACGATCAGGTCCAATTATCGATCACAAAATATTAGAATATTCGATGGAAATTGTTTAAATGGATATTCAAGCATAATCCTATACATGGCTCCGAGTTACACCTTTTGTGTGATGTTTAGAGATGTTAACCGCCTGTCTATATTAAATTAGATAGAGCAAGGTACTAACCTAAGGTGCTAGTTGAAAAATGAGTACTAAAACCATTAAGCCACTGTTATTTACTTATTTAAGCACATAAACATAATTACAAAGAGGCACCAAAACGTATGTGTCACACAAAATTTGTATGAGGGCTGGAAACTGTCCAGGCACCCAAACTGAAGCAAGTCGTTTTCTTAGGGAGCCACTCCCTGAGCCTTTGATCTAGAGATATAATCTGTAAGGCAGTGCAGCAACATTAGATGTAGTCTCATGGAAACCAGTGACCAACAACAGGTTCATACACTTTTTTTCTCGCAAGATCCTGGAGTTCATGTGCAAAACTGCTTTGGAATAAGAGTTCTCCAACTCCACTAGGTGGACCCGTCGTGTCTACCAACCCGGTTAAAGCACCAGACATTCGGTTTTCATCCTCTCAATTTTGTAGACAACACTCACGCCACGAAAAGGCAGTAGAACTTCCCCGACAGTGGCTGGATACGCGTGGTCGTGTGAGAGCATTTAGTGAGGGAGAACTGACTCTCCCTACCCTTGGCCGTACCATGGCATTTGAAGACGGAATTACAACCAAATATTATCTTCAAATGAAGAATCATATATAAATTTATTACAAGTAAGAAATTATGTAGTCACTTGTGTGTTATACTTTGTGTGTGTGAGAGAGAGAGAGGAGCTATTAAAATAATTTAACTGCTGTAAACAAACTTGAATGAGACAAGAAAAACCATATCCTAAATGAATAAAAGTTAAGCGACTCTAATCAGTGTGTTGGAATGAACTAATATTTCGAAGATGAAGAAATAAATCCATGCCGAATCTCAATACCAACATTAAAGTGAAATAAAATCCGAGTTGTAAAATTAGATTTATTTCTAAGCAAGATATTATTAATAACAAACAATTAACTTTGATGCCTCAATATTTGATGAGTGATTGAAGTTTGTCAAACATGATAAAGCCTTCACTGGTAAACAATATGATTATTTCTAGTCTAGTTGAAAAGCGTACTTTCTAATTAAAGCACTAATGTTCTGCTTAACGCTTGCTTACTACTAATTCAGGAATAATTATATGGCCCCCAAATGCCCTGGTACGGCCGAGAGTGGGGAGAGTCAGCTCTCCCTCTCGAAATACTCTCACATGGCCACGCGTATATAGCCTCTGTCAGGGAAGTCTTACTCACTGCCTTCTCGCACCACACGTGTTGTTTATGAGATTGATAGGACGAAAAGTGAACGTCCGGCGCTTTAACCGGGTTGATGGACATGGAAAGTCTACTTAGGGGAGTTGGAAAACCCTCATTCCAAACCAATAATACACATGGGCTCCATTATCCTGAAGAAACAAATGGAGTATGAACCAATCATTGGTCGCCGGCTACCCTGGGACTGCATCTCTTGACGTTGCTCGACTTTAAGGCGGCATTTGACTCTGTTGATCGTAAGGTTCTATGGCAGTGTTTGTCACTGAAAAGAGTACCAAAGAAGTACATTAACCTTATAAAGGCTCTCTACTCGAACACAACTGGTAGAGTGAGAGCTTATGGCGAACTGTCATCAGAATTGATTACCTCAAGTACTGTTCGTCAGGGTTGTCCACTCTCTCCATTCTTGTTCAACTTTGTCGTCGATGTACTTTTAGAGATAACACTTTCCTCGCCTAGATGCAGTCTTCTGACTACTCTAAGCAACAATGCAAGCATGTTCGGCATGTGATTCTCCCCCTCGAAATGTAAAATGTTGCTTCACGATTGGGTTGCATTAACACCCGAACTAATGATAGGGAGTGCAGTAATTGAGCGTGTCGATCGCTTCACTTATCTTGGAAGTCTCATCAGCCCTTGTGGTCTGGTGTGTGACAAAATCTCAGCACGGATACAGAAGGCTCGACTAGCTTTTACCAACTTGCGTCATTTATGGCGTAGGCGAGATATCCGTCTATCAACCAAAGGAAGGGTTTACTGCGCAGCAGTTCGTTCCGCCCTACTTTCTGGCGGTGAAACATGGCCGGTAAGAGTAGAGGATATCCGTAGGTTACTAGTATTTGATCATAGGTGTCTTCGAAATATTGCTCGTATATCGTGGGACCATCGAGTAAGTAATGCAGTTGTTAGGACACGGGTACTAGGTAAGGATGGCAAATCAATTGATGACGTAGTGAAACTTCATCAGTTGAGATGGCTGGGACATGTGTTACGTATGCCCAACCATCGACTGCCTCGATGTGCGATGTTTTGTTGTATAGGAGTAGATTGGAAGAAAGCTAGGGGCGGCCAGACCAAAACATGGCGCAAGTCCATGAAGTCACTGATAAGTAGACTGAGTCATATTCGTAGGTGTAGACTACCTGGTTGGGGACTGCGAGATGATAGCAACCGATGGTTGGAGACCCTGAATGACATGGCTCAAAATCGTTTGCAATGGTGCAGGTGCATCCACTCTTTGTGTTCTCTCAAATTCTAATCTTCTGAATTCTTCATGTCCCTTTCTTTTTTCTCTTTCCAAATTTATTTCACTGGATTATACTCCTTGAATAACATCTTCAAACCCTAATTTTTCTGATTACAGCTTATAATTTTACTACATCTAGCACTACGGGATTTGAATCGACCACTGCATCTCTGTGCTAATGCGGTGTGACAACTCGAACTGATGTACGTACGTACGAAGTTCTACGTTGTTACCGACTGACTGACGTTGCTCCACTGCCTTGTAGGTCAGACCTTCAGGTCGAAGGCTCAGGGAGTGGCCCCCTAAGAAAACCACCTGCTTCGATTTGGGAACCCAGGCAGTATCACAGCCCTCACACATACCAAATGAGATCTGTGTGGCGCATATCTATTTGGTGCCTTCTTGTACCAATATCTATGTGTTAAAATAAATGAATAAATAAAAATTATATTATGAAGACAGGAAACATTTTGGATAAAGGAGAGAGCAGTAAATATATAGTCATAATCTACTCTTTTTAAAGGTTAAACTAGAATCAACCATTTAAAAAAGAAAGTTCTTTTATTCATGGTTGAGAGTTGTCAGATCAAGTTAATCATTTTGAAAATAACTTATATGTGAATGTTTATAGTGTACTATGAAGAGGTCCTCATGTGTCGTATCATCATAAAATAACGATAAACATAAATTCCACGATAATGTAAACTATCTTCCTATAAACTCATTCGTCAGGTACGTAAGTATGAGCCACACTTTAAGTGCGATGGCTAATGATACTATCCGGTTGCAGAAACACAAGTAGATTGAGTGGAGTTCGAGCTTATTATTGTAAACCATTAGTGCCTTATTACTCTAAAGATTAGTAAAACATTTTATCAGTAAACATATTTCTTTTAATCGAATTAAGATAGTATTATATAAATATGTTTTAACTCACTTTTTGATAAATATGTTGTAAAAGCCAAACTGATCTGATTTAAATGATCTAGTTTCAATTTCACAGAATGCTTTTTCTGATTATCTAATATATATTGTGATCCAACAGCCCAAACAGTTTCATCTGGAACACGTTTCCATGTAATCTATGATTAATTAAAGATTTAGAGAGTTAAATAATTTAAAAGATATTATTTCGAAATAGTATTAACGACTACTAACATTTGTGGAGTAAGGTGAGATGTTAAGAGTTTGAAATGGAATTCTCAATTTCAAAGGTTCCTCACTTAATAAACAGTGGTAATAGTAACATACATGTTAGTTCTAATGATGGTCTGTCCTACTCTCTGAGAATTGTGTGTTATACTTATACTCTTATTACCTCTACCACTATGAAATCTGAATTGACAATTGTATCTCTGTGCTAATGTGGTATGATAACTCTAACTGATGTACATATGTACGAAGTTCTACGTTGTTGACTGACTGACTGTGTGTTATATCCTTAAAGAGGTTCTTTTTATATACGATTAGAAAGTTACTTTCCTACTGACAATGAACTACTAATTCGGTAATAATCTAGGAAAAATGACATGGAATTATAATTCATTTCAATCTTTAAAATCATTCAAAATATCATAAAGATATTTAACGGTTCATAGTTATCATTGATAAACTGTTTACAGAGCGAAATAATTACGTGAAATAAATAAATAATTTGTACCACGAACTTAAGTTAAGCATATGATGCTTGATATAAGTGGAAAATCGCTTGATGAGGTAGTGAATGTACATTTACTGAGGTGTCTAACCATCATGTACACTGAAGAGTGATACTTGCTAATGGAGAAGTAAGTTGGAAGAAAGCTAGGGGTAGCCAAACCAAGATATGGCATCAGTTCATGAAGTCATTAACTATTATTCTAAGCTGCACATCTGTCCCAGGCTTTATGTTAATATATCTGTCTGACTTAGGATTCACATTTGTGATTAAACAATAATATTACCAACTTATGTGAGGTTGATTTTGTTTAGTAAAATTACGATTTTAGACATATAGAAATTGAAATTTCAACTTCTTTCAAGTTTCAATAACCACTTCATTAAGTTTGTTATTACCTATAAGAAAACTGAATCCTTAAAATACTAATTTATAGATCTATAATAACCAAACTAAGCCGGAATTAAACGCATATCCTGAATTCCAAATTGAATATATATATTCGTTGAAATGTATGACTGAGTTGAATAGACAGTTATTTCTCACCAAATCATCTAATATGGACGTACATTTTAAATTTCTTGCATAGTATCCCTAATCACTGTTTTCATCTAATAGGAATGTTTCCATGAAAGTAAAAGGATTAAATTGAACCTTCGGTATTTAAACTGGTTTAGCAGATACAGGGAATTTATCAACCATAAATCATAACAGTCAATGTGAAGAAAATACAGAATATGAAATAAAGATTCATATATTTTACAACTCAGTAACTAGAGACCTCATCAATTAAAGCTTACAAATATAAACTAGTGATGATCCTATTGTATTTATCATTTGTTTCTTTAAAAGGAAAAAAAACTAGATGCATCTGATGATTGATTGAATCCTACTTTATTTGTTTTATTAATCGAAATGTTCATTGTTCTGTTTTTTTAATGATTTCTGTTATATCTAGAAGGTTGTTCTTGATATACCGCGTATAACGTGAGCACTAAAACGCCAGAACCCTTCCAAGTCGCAATGAGAAGACAGAAAACTAATAAAAGGAATATTATTCCCAGACAGTGTCAATTGTAATACAAAATCGTCAGGTATTTATAGTTTTTAGTAAGAACGAAATCATCATTACAGTCCTCCAATCCGCATACAGGGGGTTATTAGCATTGTCCAATCGGGAAGCTACATGTAGCAATTCTAGAATACTCTTCCGAAAGGTGGCTGGATGGAATATCTTCGGCTCCTTCCGAGCCTCCTACAGCTTCCTCGAGTTCGCCCGTGGTCCGTCGTCACAATTTCTAATGTATTGCATTTGTACAATATTATCTTAAATAATGGATTTGTCAGTGTTGCTCTGTACCATTCAAGTTAGTATTGTTATTATTCTCATTAACGTCTTTATTCAATATCATCTTGATATAATATAGAATTTTCAGAACCAAGTATTTTAATAAGTTTCCTTTCCTTATTGATTGATTGATCTTGATGATAAATAATGAGTAACTACCAGTTAGATGTTAGCAGTTCAGGAACTGACATCTAAATCATGTCTATTTACTCAAGACATATTACCAGCCACCATGATGTTTTTGATTGTACTATTTTGTAAATTGTATAGCAAAAGGTAGTAAACTTTCATAATCGCGCGAAAAGCACAGAGTTTGCTGAAATATCTAAATTGTAGGAACAGGTAACCCAGATATTCAGGTAGGTCTCCACAATAAACATAAACACGTACTCACACCATGGAATTTGTTATATCCTAACGAAGATTACATTACGAGTAACTTTTGAAACCTATTAATAAACTAATATTATCTGTATATTCTTATGGTATAACTATTCAGTAATTAGATTATGTATATCTATATTCCCCTTGTTATAAGCTTTATTTTGACCTATAATTTATTATTATACGAATTACTGTTCTTAAATTTTACTCAGTTTATTAATTACAGTCTCCCACGTTCACAGACACATTTTGGCTATATTGTGCATGAATTTTATTTCTTATTTTATGGTGCGTTGCGGTCTGTTTGTTTAGTATATAAACCCAGTATGTCTGAAATATGTGATTCGCATAGTGGAGGTTGTTGTTGGCATTCCAGACTCAGCTGGACGGGCTAGGCGAACATAGGACCAATAAGGACGCCAGGCTGATCATATCGGTCGAACGTCATTGGTTTAGTGCAGTACGAAAGTGAATAAGTCGTATTTTGATTAGCGAATAAATTACGTGATAGCTAGCGGGCCATAAAGACACAACAGAATTGGTATAAAATTAGGTTATCACAATCTTATTGACTATATCTTAGTAATTATAATAGTACAAATTATGTTTTCTATATGAAGTATCAATTTCAATACTTAATAAATAAGCAAAACTCAGTTAATCATCAACAGCGTAGAGCCTAGTATACATGTACGTTGGACCGAGTTGCTAAACTACTACAAAACAACAAGATCAAATTAACAGGTTGAATACTAAAGGGATTGAAATAATGCAGTGAAAATACTGATGAGAAAGATTGAAAATTGAGAATGAGATTCAAAAATACAGAAAGGAAAAATATGTATGTAGGATTATTGGAATTCAAGATCAAGTGCATAATAAAAAAGAATTTACCTACACCAGTGTGACTGATTCTGAGAGAGCATCAGCCAATGTCTTTAATAACTGATTGAGATTGTCTCCTGGACACCAATCAGATAGTCTGCATTTACATAAGCAGTTCAAGTTAATAGTCAATGACTTCATGGACTGATGCTACTTCTCGGTTTGGTTACCCCTAGTTTTCTTCCAACCTACTTCTGTAAATCACCCGTCTAGGTAAACAGTAGTTAGGCACATGTAGCACATGTTCTAACAAAAATATTTGGGCGATATGAACCTAGAACATTGTCAAAATAATTTAATAACTGTGCATTACCCGTTACTTCAATGAAGCCGAAATTTTGAAATACAATATAAAACAGATGAAAACTAAAGACTTTGGCAAAGTTGATTAGTGGTTAGTGGTGAAACTCGTCAGCTGGGTGTAAGTGAATACCAGTGTTGACGTTTACATCAAGACTCAAACACAGTACGCCTATCGCCTTATCTACTGAGTTATTCAATCCAGATAGATACTGGCTCGTGAGACAGGTACGCGTTTTACTTTTTAGTTTTTAAATCTTGTCACTGAAGTTGGTGCTTACAATTGGTCAGTCTCAGAGTGAACATCAATAATAGGATCCAGGTACATCCAAATGGCGAGTCTCAAATAAGGCGAAACATTCATCCTGGTTTATACTGCTAGACACTAAATAATTTTACTAAAAGAAATTGTGACTGAATGACAATAACGAGGCAATCCATTCAGTCCTTAACAATACCGAGGGAATTCAAACACAAAACAAAGACTAGAACCTTGATTAAAAAGTAAAGATTGAAAAACTGTCAAATAGAATAATAAAAACGTTAAGGGAAAAATAGGCAACTTATATCATTGAAAAAAAATAGGAATTTTAAAATTATACTTACTGAACCTGCTATATGCAGTCGATCAGTTATACGTTGAAAGATGCTGGCTGAAAATTGTTTACCCCAATTTGTAATTAAACCATGAAAACTAAAATCTTGTACTGTGTAACCGACAGAAAAATTAGCTTTTTGTAAAATTTGATTTGTACAATCCAATTTAACATCTGCACCAACCAAATAGCCTTGGTAACTAAAATTATGGAAAACAATTATAAAGTACAAATATACGGTTTAAATGTAATAGGAAACTTAGCACACATAATGAACGAATTAATGAATAATGCCATATAATTTTGGAGGTTTACAGATATACATTAACTATATAACACAACCAAATAGACTGAAATACTAATCATTTGAAAAAATCAAACAATAAATGAACTTAATCTCTACATAAATTAGTGAGGCAACCTCTGTGGAAAAAGAGTTCAACATCAAGAATATATGATGATATATTTGGGGGAACATCAAAAAATTAGCTATTTAAAATAAATGGAATGATGCAGAATGTAGTCTAAGTCTACAGATCCTTAAAGTGTTACCGACAGTAGTATTTCACCATAATTCAAAGATATATAATTAAACTGTAAGTTGAAAAGTACCTATTTCATCAGTGTGTTATGACAAACACTAGTCAGATGAATTGAAGTACCAACGCAATAGTCAGCGCCAGAGTTAGTTTTAATTAGTGAACGCAAAGCAAGTATACTTCAACCCAGTTAGTACTAAGACCCTAATGACTTTTGGGTCAACCTTCAACTAATAAGAAAAGAAGTTTATTTCTCACCTCTAATCGACGATTATAAGAGGAAAAAGACTGTGGATATTTTTGAACTTTTTCGGCGTATTCTTGTGAATCAGCTACACAAGATGGCGAGTTTCATGAAGCCTGATTCAAAAACATTGTGAATTGATTGAAGTTAGATTTGCACACCATTGGATTCTGGTTCAGTGCTCTACAGACTAGGCATTCGCACATGAGACGGAGTGTCCCGGGTTCGACTCCTGATTGAAGGGTCGTGGATGAGCGCTGCTGAGGCGTTTCATACCACGACGAAACGGTCGTCTGATGTTTTGAGGTTTTTAATGGTTGTATATCTTAGATTGGCTTGCGATTTTAATGATAAATATGCAGTTTAGAAACTCAAAGTGCCAATTATTAAGTCATATTTTTGCGTAATCCCGGTGAATATTTGGGTAACAATAAACTCAACAATTAGGAAAAGTGATCATCAGCTGCATTAAATTAGTGCCACACTTGTTAAGAGTTTTTGATATCATTTACGATTTTTAAACGTGGCATCACATAACTGTTGCTATTTATTTTGCTTTACCGCTATAGAGAGAGCTGCTGCTCACCAAAAGTGGAAAAAACTTGGAAATAAACTATTTTATGTACGCTGCTTAGTTTCTGTATCCGAAATTTGTTGTACCAACAAATTGCAGCTTCGATTATAGTATTCCAATAACTAGGAGAGTATCATATTCCGATTGCTTCATCTGACATACATCAATCATGCAAGCTGTATTACGTATGCTGAATCGAATTATCTTGCCCCCCCCTACGTGTCTGATAAGCGGATATAAAAATGCGACGTGAGGCATGGCAAACTGGATTATTGAAACTTCGTGGGAATTCCTGCATGGATAATGACTGGCTGAGTGACTGAAGAAAGTGGATTGACTACAGTAGAGACTACTAGGAAAGAAGTTTTGTATCCCAGAAGTAGATTTAAATCGAATGATTTGGAATATATTGTTTAATTGTTGACTGAATTTAAAATGTCCACTCAGATTTTTACTAATAGCAACAATTTGAGTGGCTTTCAGTTACACGTATAATAATGTTGAGTTTTAAAGAAGTTATATGGTTTAGTTAATTAGATTATCAAAAGCTACTTACATAGTAAACAAGATGGGTTATTATGTATTCGGTGAGCTAGTAGTTAAGGGTTTGCGGACATCAAAGGTGTAGAATGCTGACCATCAGATGAACTTACGTGATGGGAATCCTTATAGTATTATCACAATCCTAAGTCTATCCTGATTTTTCATATAAACCAAACGGTAGACACAGGTTATTTTGTCATTATCTACAGAGGAGGACTTATTATTTTGAAAACGTGCAAGGAGCTTCATTATCGTCGAGTTATTGTGCTTTAATAAGTGGGCCTCAATAGACCCAGGTTGGATGTTTCTGGGTGGAACGCTGTCATAAATTTCAAAGGAGCATCACCAGTGATTTTAATAAGTATAGTTGGATGGCTGTTGCAGCAAGACGGTAATAATTGTCCTTACATGGCCTGTTGGAATACACAGACCCAATTTAGGGTAAAAGATAGCGCGTCAGTAGCGAAAACTCAGGAATTTTAATCTATTACAGAAACTGATACGGATGTGATAACAGCGGTAACCTTAAATACACTTCGTTACTAGTATACTACACCTTTTATTCCTAGCCCAGGCTAGTCCAGAAGATAAATCTAGTAAAGACCTATTTGGTAGATACCAAGATTAGTTGCGAATCCGACTTATTCCATCATATACTGATTACATTCAGCGGTCGTTAATTAAGGAAATTCTTACAGAACAATCACCATTGAATATTATACTGAAGAAAAGGTCAAGTAGATGTAAAGTTATATCACAATATTTTACGTTTGGTCTATTTCGAATAGTTGTAATTGAGGATTTAACACCAACGAATACTCTGTATGAACAAACTCAGGGAGACATTACTATAGGTATTAAAAATAAGGACAACTGAAGACACTTAAGAAAAAGATTATATAAGCGAATTTTAAAACCATTACTGTCAGCTAGTGGCGAAGGCCAGAAATCTAGAGTAACTATAAACAACCAATGACCTGTTTTCATAAATGAAAGGGGCTAACATAAAACTCATTCTTTATAGGATTATTACGAGATAAATTAAAAACTCATGTTTAACGTTGGGTGCTGGATCGACGGACAGAGTATTTATGAAGGCCTATTCAACTATCAGCTAGCCTAGATAACATCAATATCCAGCCCTCCAAATACAACCGAAGACATTTTCATTTTCAAGAAACTATGGAGCTGAGATCGTGTAACACCCAAGCTTAAAGTGGTATAGGAACTGGTGAAATCTAGCTTCATTACTGAGTTAATTTCTTGCCGTCCAATAGGTGCTAATTTGTTTAAATCCTCATGCTCATGCTATTCCTATGCTAGTTTTCAACCTAAAGGTTGTACAACCAAAACAAACATTTTCATGAAAGGTAACCAATTAAGTAAGTACTCATTATTGTATTGTGGTACGTTCGTGCAGTGCGTCAATAATTTCGGCACTCCGACCTTCACACTATACAAAACTATTACTTTTAGTTTTGATGAACCAATAGTTAGGGTAAAAACAGTTTTACATATGAAGCTTTTTGGTGTCCACTAAGCGTAATTAAGCACTAAGTTTATCGATTACATATCAACAAAAATCATCAGTTTTTAAGGTGAGCATTTTTCATTGACGTAAACCATTGTAAAACTGTATTGAAATTCTGCGAAATGTGTTCACATTGTATAATTTATTGTAACAGAATTTTGACCTAATTGGATTGATGTTTCTCATTGGTTGTAATTTGAGACTATATTCTCGACAAATTGGTACCTGTAAGTCCGGATCGTCGAATACGTAGCAACATCAGAACACCAAACCTCGCTGAGAAGCCAATGTAAAAACGTGGTTAAGAGGACTAAAGTAGTTAAACACGTCAAACGTATTATTCAGCTAGAAAGCTAATCATTTTGTGAACTATAACCCAGAATAGCCGTTATCAGTGTATTAAAAAAACAGGAAGAAAGCTATAAAACCCGTATTTTTAAGTTTTTAAGGAATATTTGACAGTTTTGAACTTACTTAAAAACAAAAGATGGGGACAAATCAGGGATAGCAGACTTGAAGAACATTTCGACGTTAGAATTCACATGCTTGTTTCGAAAAGAATTGACTAAATTGGCATGAAAACAACTAAGTAATTAGTTAATGGGAGTTTCCTACTTTTGAAAAGGATCGCGAGAAATCTGAAAAGTTTGTTTCAACCCGTCAACTAATTTGTCTTCAAATACTATTTCTCCGTCAACTAGATTGTTGGAAGACCAGTTTTTCGTCATAGTTAGACCATATTTTGGAAAGGAGAACTTTTCTTGCAGGTTGAAATGCATCTGAAAAAATAATTAGATGTAAATAAAACGGCTAATGATGTTTATATACCTTATTTGGTTTAGGTCCATCACTAATATTGGCTTTAAATTCAATGTCATTTTTCTTTGTCGTGCAGTGAATATTATACAGTCCAAAATAAAACTTTTTAAAGAGTAAGTCCCGTGCATCTTTACCAAGATCCGAGAACGAAGGGGGAACCATAGTGTACTCAAAAGTTACGCCTATACTGAATTTAGTACTTTAACCTTCAAGTGCATCAATATTTTCAGTTTGATAAAATTTGAGCGATGACCCTTCAAATGGTTCAAATGGTTGTGGACGGAATAGAAGAAGCTTTCGCTTAACAGGCTTCCGTGTCTAGTAGCAGGGGATCACCAAATCCTCCAGGCAGGAACCTAGGTATGTTAACAATAAAAAAGGAAAAGAAATTGGTAAATCATAATGTGATGCTGTCCTTGGTCCTTAAGAATAGATCAAGTTGCCTCTTGAAGGACTCCTGAGAAGTCGCTTGGACTAGCTCGCTCGGCAGCGAATTCCAGCTTTTGACAACTCTTAAGGAGTAGAAGTCGTGTCTACATTCCGTCTTGCTATGTTGTGTTTCCAGTTTCTGGGTGTTACCCCTTAGGTTATTATTCGAACTAAGCTTAAGTAGGTGTTTAAGAGGATGTCCAGAACTGTTAAGAATACTATAAGCCATTAGTAAATCACCTCTAAGACGCCTATATTCTAGTGGGTAAAGGTCTAGTGAACGGAGGCGTTCTTCGTAAGGCTTAGATTTGAGTCCTCGAACTGATTTCGTGGCTCGCCGTTGGATACGCTCCAAAGTGACCTTGTCCTTTTGGAGTGAGGGGGGAGTACTATGTTTCCGTAATCTAAATGGGGACGGATGAAACTATTGAAGATTGTATGGAAAGTTCGTCCGTCAAACTGTCCAAAAATGCGCTTCAACGTTACTAGTGCAAGGTTTGCTCGGAAGGCATTTTTGTCACAGTTAGCGTAAGACTTTAAGTCATAGGGCACCAGGACTCCTAAATCTTTTTCGACTTGGGATACTACTAGAGAGGAGTTTCCTAAGTTGTAACTGTAGTTTGCGACATGTCGCAGATGGACTACTTTACACTTTGAAGTGTTAAAGGTAAGTCCGTTATCGTCTGCCCAACTTTGAAGTCGAGTCAGATCCTCCTGAAGTGCCTGTGTATCGTCTTGGTTGCGTATCTCTCTCCAAAGTTTCACGTCGTCGGCAAAAAGCAATAAGTCTGACGTTACCTGTTGAGGAAGATCATTTATGTAGATCAAGAAGAGAAGAGGCCCTAGTACTGAGCCCTGGGGGACCCCACTAGGACATTCCATAGCCTGAGATAAAGTGAAATTAACCCTAACCTTAAAGTGTCGACTTTTTAGGTATGAAGTAAGCCAATCGATTAGAGGTGGTTTGATACCTAGTCGTTTGAGCTTGTTGATAAGACACAAGTGGTTAACCTTATCAAAAGCTTTTGAGAAATCAAGGTAAATGACGCCAACCTTTCCCTTGCAATCGAGGATGCTTGTCCATTTGTCCACCGCAGTCAGCAGGTTGGTTATACAAGAGTAACCCTTCCTGAAACCATGCTGTTGGGGTGAGAAGAAATTTAAGGACAGTAGATAGTCATTTAAACCGTCGCATATCAGGGACTCCATGAGTTTTGAAGGTAATGACAGAAGAGCCACCGGCCGATAACTTGAAGGTTCATTGCGTCGACTACCTTTGAAAATTGATGTGATATGAGCCAACTTCCAGTTTTCCGGTAATTTGCCTCGGCTAAGCGAGTGTGAGAACATCGTGCTAAGCGGCGTTGCCAGGATTAAGGCTGCCTCCCTCAGTATGGTAGGATGAACCTATAGTGGCTCACGTGCAATTGAGTTTAGTTCAGTCAAGGTCTTTTGTTGACCTATTTAATGGACAAAGTCATCCATGATATGACAACTTGTTGTACTATCTTTATTATTACGCTTGTATGAAATACATATGCTTAAACATTGTTTAGCGCCTACGCATGTATTCATTCTGCTAGCTTCATTATTAACTGCTTAGTCTATTCACTGACTCATCCATTTTCCTATACATATATATATGTGTACATTTGCACCCATCTACTACTACTACTACTACTACTACTACTACTACTACTACTACTACTACTACTACTACTACTACTACTACTACTACTTGCTACTGCTACAATCGTAGTTCGCTTGCTCATTCATTTTGCCTCTCTGCTATCTGGTCCGAATTATCTACTAAATAAACTGTAGTAGCTGCTTCTTTTTGCCTTCTGATTTCAAACATCGTTGAAGATTATACGATAACGGTTCGAGGGTGATTAATTATCGAAGCACAGCCACTACAGAATTGGTAATCCCGACGTGAGAACGGAAGCAAATTTTGGTGAAATAATCAAATCCCAAAAATCCGATTCTTTTCATCTCAATTTGGATTATCAAATGAACTATAATTACAACTGTGGATTTATATTATTATTTTAATTACACTTACATTATTTCGCAAACATTATTAAACGTGACAATTATAATCATAATAAATAACAATTATCCATAAACAATTGATATATTGGTGCAATTTAGTAAATCTGTTCCATTTTATAAATTGTGCCATTTTTTATTATCATTGTTTTTGCCCGTCTATTCTTCCTTGTGACTGTTAAATTACTTTCGTGTGCTACTTAGTTTTTATAAGCATGTCTTATGAAAACACAGTTTCAAGCGTACAGCAAGCCTCTTCCGTGAGGTCTTTTAACCTCCCTGCCCCTTCTTTTAAAATCGTAGATCCAAAACTTTGGTTTATAAGACTTGAAAATTGCTTTCTCACTAACCGCATTTTTTTGCAAAAGGATAAGTTCAGCCTGACAAGCACACTACTCCCAGACGAAGTAGCTGACAGCGTTCGAGAGGCACTAGCAAAACCACACACAGAAAAACCATACGACGTGCTAAAAGAGGCAGTAATTAAAACTCTCTCTCTCAGTGACCAACAAGCCGTCGAACAACTCCTTAATCAAGTACAAATTGGAGATAGAACCCCATCACAGCTAAAAAATTATATGAAAAGTCTACTTGGCGATAGACACATTGACAATAATCTCTTTTATCAACTGTGGCTCCGCCGACTCCCGGCAAACATACAGCAGATCCTAGCTGTGGGAGATACGGATGATGATTTAGACAATGTAGCAAAGATAGCCGATAGAATATACGAAAGAAGCAAGCAAGCAAGCCCTCCACTACACAACGTGACGGTAGACGATAGACTTGATACTCTACAGAAGGAAATAAATGTTTTATGCCGCAAACTCACAGAATTAACGCAGAGAGAAAAGCCACGAAGGTCATCGCGAGATCGCTCGCGTGAAAGGACCCGGTCAACTTCTAGACGACGCACAACTCTCGCGATATGTTGGTATCATCAAATGTTCGGCTACAGGGCTAGAAAGTGCCTACAACCTTGTAGATTTAACAGGGCTAGTAACCGATACTCACGAGTATCAATGGCAACGGCATCAACACACATAATGCCTGAAAATAGTCGCCTCTTTTATATACAAGATCGAACCACTGGCGCACAATTCTTAGTTGACACTGGAGCGGAAATTAGCGTAGTACCTCCATTTAACGAGGAAAGAAAAAACATTAATCCGTCATTAGTGCTAAGAGCAGCAAACAAATCAGATATTAAGACATATGGTAAACGGAAATTGTCCCTAGATTTTGGACGTGGCGCTTCATACCGTTGGAACTTTGTCATAGCAGACGTATCGATGCCCATAATAGGCATAGATTTCTTATGTAACTTTGACCTGCTAGTAGACTCTAGACGATACAGACTTATAAACGGCAGTCAAACCACTTCGATAAGAGGAATACTTACGGAAGCCGTTTCAATGAACCTTGTGATAGATAAAAGTCGTGGTGATCCATATAAATTGTTGTTAAGGGAATTCCCTGAACTCGTAAACGTAACATACAATAAAGCGGATCTCAAACATTCTATTCAGCATCACATCGTAACGAATGGTCCACCAATCAATGCAAGACCAAGAAGGTTAGATCCCAAAAGACTAGCTGTCGCAAAACAGGAATTCGACAAGCTAATGAGGCTAGGCATTATAAGGCCATCGAGCAGCCCGTGGGCATCCCCGCTACATATGGCCCCGAAAAAGAATGGAGAGGTTAGGCCATGTGGAGATTACAGAGCACTGAACAAACAAACAGTAGCTGACAGATACCCTATACCGCACATTCATGATTTCACCTACAGTATAGAGGGCACTACTATCTTCTCGAAGATCGACTTAGTCAGAGCATACTACCACATCCCTGTTGCCCCACAAGACATACCGAAAACAGCAGTAACAACCCCATTTGGGCTATATGAATTCCTGCGTATGCCTTTTGGACTGACTAACGCGGCACAAACCTTTCAACGGTTTATAGACCAGGTCATTAGAGGTTTACCTGGAGTATACGCGTATATCGACGATTTATTAGTGGCTAGCACCACTAAAGATGAGCATATACAACAACTACGGCAATTATTTATGCGACTCAGAGAACATGGTATTTCTTTAAATATTGAGAAGTGTGAATTCGGAAAGGAATCTTTACAGTTCCTAGGTCACAATATAACTTCTCAAGGCATCACACCAATAGCAACAGAAGTCGACGCCATTAGGAATTATCCCCTACCCGATTCATGGAAAAAGTTACGTCGATTTCTCGGGTTAATAAATTATTACAGACGATTTATCCCGAATTGTGCGTCAATATTGCAACCACTAACAGATGCATTACGCGGAAACGCACGGACATTCCAATTATCACTAGACGCGATTCAAGCATTCGAGAACGCTAAAAAAGCACTAAATAAAGAAGTGACACTAACTAGACGAAAGAGCGAAACACCGTTAGCTATCATGACGGATGCATCAGACGTAGCGGTAGGAGCCGTTTTACAACAATTAGTTAATGGCATATGGGAACCGCTCTCATTTTTTTCGAAAAGACTGAATCCGACACAAACAAGGTATAGTACTTTCGGAAGAGAACTCCTAGCGATTTACTTGGCAATAAAACATTTCCGACATATGATTGAGGGTACCATTTTCACAGTATATACAGATCATAAACCCCTCACAAAAGCATTGAACGCCAAACAGGACAACTACTCGCCGAGGGAAATCCGACAATTAG